GGAAAGGGGTGTTAAAATTACCTGCTCTGACTCTCAAACATTAAGTATATCACTGCCTGTTCTTTCTCTCTAGAAACAGGGTACAGTGTTTTCCCCAGGATCTCAGCATGTGTTTCTTCATTCCAGGGAATTTTTCTCCTATTACTTATTGATTCATAGCTTGTCCATCTGTCCTTTCTTCTCTGTATGGAATGTCTCTTATTACAACATGATTCTGCAGCATATTCTTCAGATTACTTATGTCTGTTTTGAGAATTTCTGTCTCATTTTTTTCTGTATTTGGAGTTATTTCTTGAAGCTCATTTTCCAACTCCTTAATTCAAGTCTCAAATGACTATTATGCCCTCGAATTCTTCACTTAATTTATAATTCAAATTGTGATTTCCATAGTGCAAATTTGAAAGTTTACTGTCAGTAGTAGTAGCAGTATTACTATTATTTTATTTAAGGATTATTCTGTCCCTAGCAGTCATTTTCACTTGGCTTGTTTTGATTTCTGTATACATCTTCCTTTCTCTGGATGCTGTGCTTCCTTAGGTGGATAATCATTTTTTTCTACATTAGCTTTTTGTGGATTAATGTCTGGTTTTTGGTGTGTTGAAAACCCTGTACTTACTTGGAAGGCAAAAATGGCCTCTAGGCTACAAGCCAGCAGGGCGTCATTCCCCTACGGAAACAATTGGAAAAAGCCCATAGAGAGCTGGACTTTGAAGGCAAGGAATTCAGTAATACTGCTTAGCTCTATCTTGGACTTTCAGGAGTCAGGAGGACCAGTGAACTCCGGGCCTGACCTTTGGCCAGCTGCTTATTTGTACAGATTCCTTTTGATTCTAAAGAGGCAAGAAAGGTCTGGAGTTGGGAGTAGAGAGTGAAGTTATAGAATTCAGACTGCTCTGATCCAAGAAATACTTTTAAAAGAGAATTTTGTAATAGAAAAAGTAACTGTAGCTATGATGTACAGAAATAAATAGGTTACCAAGAATAGGATACATACATTCTATAGAGAGAGAAATACAATATATTATAGGAAGTAGGAACTGTTATCTTCACTCAGTCATAAAGATGTAAAGCTGAAAGGGACCTTAGAAATCACCTAATTTTTTCCTCATGTTGTATCCTCAGGACTTGGCACATAGGACTTCAATAGATATGGGATGAATGAAAGGATGCAAAACAGAATAAATGAATGAATGAATGAATGAATGAAGACTGCCCGAAACTATTTATATGACTGAGCAATACAGCTAAGGAACCACGCCTTCCCCTTCTGAAGGATGACTGGAAAACAAAGATAAACAACATTATATTTTGGGTTCTTAATACACAGATGGGTTAAGGAGATGGACATGTAAACAGATAACACAAATAATGTGATAAAAAGCCATCATAAATGAATTTGGGATCTGGGTGAAAATTTTGAGTTCCTGTGTCCTATTTTCCTGTTTCTTTCTCACTCCTCCCTGGCCAACCATTGGATCAAGTGGGTTATTGTTGGCGTGGACAAAGTTTCCTCATACCATGTGGGTTCATAAACTGTGTTTTTCTCTGCAGGGATAACCAACCTGACAGACCTGGGGCTCTGCTGTCCTGGGACTAGCTCATGTTTACACAAGAGGCCACCTATCACTCACAGCATAACTGATCTGTTTTAAACTTCAATTCTGCCTCACCTCCATCTCCTACCACCCAGAGAGGAAGGTGAGAAAGCTCTGAGGTAGGGGAGGGTGGCAAGAAAAAGAAAAGTGAACAAATGTGTAAATTACTCATGAGAGATTTTGTCCTTGATTCTTTAGTTTCTAGATCTAAAAGATGGCAAGTGGAAGTACACAGCACCCCGTTAGGACCTGCCTCCAAAACAAGAGCTGTGAAATCTGAGTCACACTAACAAGCTCCTCACGACTCCATGCTGCCCCCTGTGGCCACTGCTCAGGATAAATACCGCCCAAGGCAAAAGGAATCTCTAAATCTAGAAAGAAAACACCACAGGCTTTGTCAAAACAAGATTAACACATCTCACTTCACTCTCACTCTGCCAGTTGCCTAAACTGTTCATCCCATTATGTGGGTATTGAACAACTGGAGACAACTCTTTCTCAAAGCTGGATATAATGGAGACTTACCTGAGCAATGATACCAATGCAATACTGACTTCTCATGTCAGTTGCATTAATGAGAATTGCACAGAACTCTTTTTTTCTTTATTGTCCAAAAATTCTGGTATGAAATCTGGTATTGTTTTGAGCCAAACTCTGATCACCCAAACCTTCTTTCTGATGACTGATTATCATTTTTTCTTAACAGTCTAAAAATAGGTATCACTGTTTACAAAGCCCTTTGTTAGCAGTTGGCTTACCTTAATGAGTCCTTCTACCCTACTTAAGAATTGGAATGAGTGATGTTAGGGTTTCTCTGTTACCTAAAAATCTACAACATTGCTAGGAACCAGCAGATGTAGCTACTTGAAAAAAGCCAATACAATTCATTAGCAACACAAAGAAAGTTCTAGAGATTGCCAGCCAGAAAATGTACTGTGAGTATAGCAGGGTCAGGCATTCCCTTTCTCAGATCTGATCTGCTAAAAAATGAGGAAACCCTCCAGCTGTTGTCTTACCCCATTAATCTAGAGCAGGTACAAAAATTATTACAGGAACATGGACACAAACTTCTACCTGCCCCCAATAAATACCACTGATACAAACAAATTAAATCAGGGTATATGTGGTCTATTTAAAACCCTGGAGGTGTAACTGTTCTAAATCCTAATTACAACTCAGTTGGAAAGGTTCACATCACATCCCACTAAGCACCTCAACTGCAGTAAAGCTCACAGGGATATGCAGTTATGTTCATTTATCTCAAATTAAACCTGTTTCTCGTGAGTCCCACCGGAATCACAACCCGAGACCTGTTTTTGCGAACCCATCGAAGACCTCAAACTCCTCTTCAAGAAACAAAAACCTGTTGTAGATAAGTAATAGAATAGCTGGGGTTTTAAAAAAATATTTATTTTTACAGAGAGAGGAAGGGAAGGAGAAAGACAGGTAGTGAAACATCACTGTGTGGTTGCCTCACACACACCTTCTACTGGGGACCCGGCCCGTAACTCAGGCATGTACCCTGACTGGGAATTGAACCAGCAACCCTTTGGTTCAGAGGCTGGCACTCAATTCATTGAGCCATACCAGCCAGGGCTAATAGCTGGGCTTTGATACAATTCTCTTTTTCAAATTTCTGACACTCTTTCTAATGGCCTGTCTCTACACTCAACCTCCTCCCACCGGAAAGAAATTTTTTGTCCCTGCTGGATTTAACCCTGATCAGATAAAGTCCTACGTTCTCCACTCCACTGACCTTCTTGTCAAATTTGTCACCTCTATGCTATAATTCCATGTCAAGAGGATGACACTTAAGAAATTTCAACCCATCTGTACTTTAAAATAGCAGCCAATGGCCTCTCTGGTCTGGTCTCAGATCCCGTTCCCTTGCTCCCCTTAGATCAAACAGGGAGAGACTTCCATACCCTATATAGGCATGGACCACATACTTTGTCAGCAGGAAGAAGTCACTGAAGGCAAATCATTTTCCCTAATCTACCCTAAAAGACTTTAGGGATAGAAGTCAATAAGGGGGAAATGAAGCAGGATAGTAAAAAGCCAGAGAAATTCCTTGACAAGTAGAATGAGAGAAACTAAGACAAAAATAATTAAACAAGGCCCAATAATTTGAGCAATTTACAGCCGGCTAATGAATCACAGGGTTTTATCTTCCCTAATCAAGGACACTTAGGAACAAATGGTTTATACATTCACATCTTCCTGGGACAGACCAGCTTTGATCCCAGTCCATCTTCAATGATATTCTTGATGACATTCTTTGAAAATAAAACTAAACAGAAAATAAACCCTGACCCCTCTTTATGCACATATTGATGAATCAGCACGTTGAAGGACATACCTAAAAAGCTAATGAATATCCTGTAAAGACCTCCCCTAGAATTCTGGCTACAAATAGGTAAAAAGCCTCAAGACAAAGGACCTACAGCTCATTGTCACTAGAACACACCCACAACTTGTATCTCTGCTAAACTCTAAGGGTCTCCATAAGACCTGCAACGAGAGGAGAAGTAGCCAGTGACAGCTTATCTCATGCTTACCCCCTGAGCTGCCTCCTTTTTCTCTGACTTTCTAGTGAACCAAAAGCAACCCTGCCTAAGCTCACTTTTTTCCTATACTTTAAGCCCTTTGTTTCACTGTCCCCAGATTTAATCAACATTCTCTCAAAATCACTTGGACTCATATTGTGAAATTTTTTCTGCATGGAGTCAAGAATCCACATACTATCAGCAGACTCCACTCCAGCATGGTCCTCATCTGGTAACAGTGAAGTCTCAAGGCTTAACTAATCTCAGTGTATGTTCCCACTCACCCACCTTTCCTTCAGACACAACTCAGACAAACTTTGTGTTAAATTCTGGATTTTCTGAGTCAACAAGGTAATAAAAGGCATGAATAGCAGTGCATAAAACCAACATTCTATAAATTACTTACATTTGGTTTCAAATATTTAAAAATGCATTAACAAAAACATACAACTACTTAATTCTTAAAGTATAAACACTAATTTCATTAAGTAAAAGAGTAGAGTATGTTGATGCCTTTAGGACACAGTGAAGGTAGCAGTGGCAGGTGGGGAAATGGGAGAGGAGACAGGGTTGAGAGGGATTATGCATGGTCCTAGCCTACCTCTGCAGACCCAGCCAATGAGGCCAGACTGGTGTACCCAGCTATGGAATGATGAATGGAAATTTTTCCTCTTGCTAATCCTCTTGATTTAAACTTTCAGGGCACCCCCAGCTTTGCTGAATATACAGTATTTTAGACTGATTGAGAGAAATGTTGGTGGCTTCAACATAAATGTTTTCCTTTAGATTTTGAAATATTTGGACATTACACTTTACTATCTACTAAGACATTATAAATCACTTCCTAGTCTTGAGCTACCTGTCCCGCTTCTTTTTCATCATTGTAGGTGTGGCCATCTCATGTTGATCCTCAGATGATTCTTTATGTTCAGGCTCAGGATTAGGTACTGTTTCTTCCCAGGGAGGTTCTTGTTTATTGCCTTGAGATATAACTAGAATATAGCTTAGGCCACTTGTCATTAAAGAAACAAAATCTTCAAATTCAGGCTACAAAATAAAGTGATAAACTGTTCAGTTTCCTGAAATGGATAGACTAACATGGCAGCTACTACCTAAGTTAAATGGCATCTTCCCCATTATACTCAGTAAACAAGGGTATGGTATCCTTATAAAGCTCCTGTTAACAAACATATCTGTCAAGGATAAAAGTCCACAGCTAGCATGGATTGACCTTAAAGATAGTCTAATAACTATTCTCAAGCTTTAGGATGTTTCCAAATGATCTGAAGAGCTTGTTAAAACACCAGTTTCTGGAGTCTGGTCCCACAGTTTATGATTCAGTAGATTTAGAGGGGCCTTGGATTTGGATTTTCACAAAAGCTCCGAGGTGATGCTGATGTTGCCAGACCAACCCTTTCCTGGGGCCAAGAGAGATGATTTGAGTGGTGCAACTAGTTTACAAAGTGCTGTTAAGTAGAACTTTCTGAAATGACAAACGTGTTTTGTGCTCCTTAACATATGTAGCCACATGCAGCTACTGAGCACTTGAAATGTGACTAGCGAAAATGACACTGAATTTTTATTTAATTTTAAAGACTCTACATTAAAATGGACACAAGTAGCTTAATGGCCACCTATTGGACAGTACATTTGTACAAGCTTTGTCTCCTGACCCCCAAGCCAGTACCCTCTCCCATATACAGTGCTGCCTTTATCATATTCCCCCAGGAAAGAAAGAATTTCAAAAATAGCTTAAAAGAAAGGCCTTTGAGTACAGAAAGAATTAAAGCTTTCTTATAAAATGTATGACAAGGAAACTTCGACCGAGGATAAAAATCTATAGGAAGTGCCTAGATATTAACTTCCAGGGCTAATGCAGGGAGTCTTAAAGGACATAACACAATAAGGTCTTCACACCAAAAGAACACAATCAGATCATTCATTCACTTTTGCTTGACTGCTCTTATTTCTACTAGAGATTTCTCCTGAGTCACTGTCTTTGGTATTACCATGATATAAACATCAACAGTGACACTGGGAGGTTATTTGGTTGGTCATACTTATTCACTTGTTTTTCTATAATAAAGATCTAAAACTTATAAGAATCTATTGTATTTGAAAACACAGTGGCTTTTTTTTAAACTTTCTTACCTGGTCAGCTATTTGACTATAGAAGTCCCTTACTTGCTTTTTAGTGAGCACTCTCCTATCTTCTGCTTCTATGACAAATCCTCCTTTGATAATCTTCAATGAGAGAGTATGGTCAGATCCAGACATTACGGGACCACATACAAAACAAGTCAAAAAGATTTGTTCCCTAGGCTTAACACACTACCCAGATTTCAATGTATTTCTTGTAAGAACCTCAGCACAATTTGTTGGGCACTAGATTTGAAGAGGCTCAAAAATATATAAACCAAGAAACCCCACAATATTTATATTATTTGAGTTGCCTCAAGATGTTAAAAAATTAACTGAATTCCCAAAAAAGATATCATAGATTTCTGAATCAATCATAAAAATCATAAATCTATAAGCCCTTTTTTATAGCCTATTTTCAAAATCATTTTAACTCTTCTAAGGCTTTACTTTGTTAAGGTTATAACTTATAATCTATTATACGTTCCTCTTAGCAACAAAAATTATGGAAATTATAGGAGAGGAGAGAATTTAATATTTAGATGCTTTACTTGTCTTAAAAAAATTTTATGAAAAATTCAACTTGCATGTCATTCAAGTATAATAAAATGTAACAGGTAGAAGTTTTGAAGTCAATATAACAAGTCCAATGAGTTATTAAACAATTAAATGTAAGCGTTGCCTTGATTTAAAGTAATTTAGTATTACATTAAATGTTACCAATAATTTGAGCTCAATTTTGTTTGGGAGTACCCAGCATCAATTACCTCTGCTTCTATCATGTGAGCAAGCCCTGAACTGGTTCCAGGGGCTTGTGTGATATTGCAGAGCATCTTAGTGACCTCTCTCCCGATATTCCCATTTGAAAAATTTCTAAATATCACATCATGCCTGTTAAGTTACTAAGTGTCTGACAAAAGAAGATAATATCCAAGCGACAATGAAACTTGATAGCTTCTCCTTTACTACAGTTGAAAAATGCAGTGTGTTCATTTTCTTTTTATTCAAAACACTGAAAAAATGTTATGTAGCCTTTTATTGTATTCCAAAGAGGAAATGCATTTAATAGATATTCATAATTTATATTTCTGAAATGTCATTTAGTATGTCAAAACAAAAAAAACATGATTAATAGTATTTCCTCAAGTAAAGAATGAAGTGAAAATCTTCTCTATTACAGTTATTAATAACTATATTGAAATAAGAAAGAATAAACCATCGGTATATGATATTATTTTTAAAAACTTTAAAAAGTATAAGCAATATATGGGGTCTGGGATATGGTCTGGTGTTCCCCTATTCCATGTATCTGGAACATGGAATAGGAACACCTATTCCACTAGAATCTGGAAAAGAGGGGGCGGGAGCTATACTTAGAGAGTGATATTAATTAAATCAACTGGTAATTGGAGAGAGACAATGTTTACCTTGACTCATGGACCATAATCAATGATAATTCCACTATACCTAAAGAAAGAATGCATGATGGGAACTTCACCAAAGAGATATCAACCCCTCCTGACATAGCTCCCTAAATGATATCTACAATGCATGAAACATTCTTTCAAATTTCTATATAATTTTGTTGTTTCAACACAAAGTCATTGTTCAGGGGTCAGCAAACTATAGCCTGCAGTCAAAATCTGGCCCAATGTCTATTTTTGGAAATGAAGTTTATTGGAACATAGTCATGCCCATTTGTTTACATAGTGCCTAAAGATGATTTCTCCATACAATTTCAGACGTAAGCAGTTGTGACAGAGATCATATGTCCCACAAACATGAAAGTAGTTGCCAAATGGTTCTTTATAGAAAATGTCTGCTGAGATCTTTTTGAAGATGGCGGTGAGGTAGGTGGGTGCAGAGCCCACTGCCCCCTGCATACAGGTGGAACACCTAGACAATCTTCTGAGGAACAGAGTGAACAGCCAAAGGTATCCCAGCATATATGATTGTTGGAGGCCAAAATTATAGAGAACATTGAAAAACAGACTGTAAGAAGATTGCTTTAGAACAGTAAGGTCCCTGGGACCAGTGTGGGTCTAGGGCTGCTGCAGTCCCCGGCCCAGCACCTGCCGGCACCAGCCACAGGATCCTTGGAAGAGAGCCAGGTCAATGGTTCCCTCCCCTACAGAAAAGGGAGGATAAAGTGGCACCAGGATAGACCTGGATAATTGAAGTCACTGGGGGTAATAATGATGAAGTGGGAGACACACAGAGGCAGTGTTCACCCACTGAGTCTATGGACGCTGGCTGTGTCATTACTAGAGAAACTGGGGAGCCAGGTGACACCTGGAGAAGAGAGGAGTTGGGCCATGACAGAGTCTGACCCAGACAGCCTCCAGTCTGGTTGGAAAGTTGGCCTGTGTGAGAGGCCAGGGGCTTGTTAGGAGAAGCAGGCTTGAACAGAAGAATTTTGTTTTCAGAAAGGCTCTCAGTTGCTGGTTGGGGAACTCGCCCATGGTGACCACACCCACACCTCTGCCACCACAACTCAGGCCATGACCCTGTCCCCACGCCTCAGCAACAGAGGTTGCACCCCCACTAACTCGGCAGACTTGGCTGTGCATATGCCCCCACCCCCCCACCCCCGGCCAGGCTGACTTGATAAGAGGAAGGAGGAGGTGCTCCCACAAAAGAGAGCAGGGCTCAGGGCGTTAGCAGTCCCCAGAAAGACTTAACTCAGTGGGGGAGCTGAACTACCCTGAAGAGACTTTGAGAGTGCCTAGCACTAGGACAGCAAAAAGCAAGAAGGTGGTGTGTGAGTTGCCCCTAATTAGTGTACCTCAAGAATAACTGGTGAACTAAAGGTGCCAGCCTGAAACAGATGGGCAGTGGGGGCCTGGCAGTGAACTGAGGAACTGAGCTAGAGGGTAGGCAACTGTGAATATTGAGGCCCAGACCTGGCCCCCATGCTCACAAAACCATAGGAAGGGAGAAAAATCTCAGCCCATGCCCCCTCTGCCTGAAGGTCTTCCCGGCTGCCCACAGGCAGGAAGGCCCACAGAACTCACTTAGCCAGTTTAAAGTCAGCAGGAGGCTGTTTTTTATCCCCAAGTGAGACAATAATACCTGGAACTGTGAAAGGACCAGAGTGAGACCCAAAGAGGGATCATAAGGTCAACAACTGAGAAACCAAGACAAATTTCACTTTGCTACTCCAGAGAACTTGCATGTTATTGTTTATTTGTTATTATTTTTTTTTTACTTTTTATTTTATTAGTAATTTTATTGTTCTTTCTGTTTAGTTTTTTCATTTTATTTGTTGTTTAATTGCATTGTTTGACTGGTTTTCCTTGGTTCTCTCTGTCATAGTGTATTTTAATTTTCCTTCTTTTACTTCACTTGTGTTTCAATAGCACACCACTATAGGTCATGTACTTCCTATTCTTGTTATTCAGATAACATTGTTTCTGTAATATGATTGCTGTTCCAGTATTGTAAATAATTGTTGTTCCGTATCATTGTAAATACTACACAGCAACCCCCACCCCTCACAGATCTTAACCCTTTTCACTATCTTCCAGACTTTATTACTATTGTTAATTCTATTGTCTCAAACACTACACCTACTTTCTGTCCTCTACTATCACTATATCTCCTAATCTGATCTCCCATAAGCTCTCTGTTTTCTAGACTCAACTCACAAAATTTCTCCCTTCTTATAAGAGTCTTATCTCTTTTCCACACTTTCTAAAAAGTGGCTAGTTAGGTGAAATATCAGATAACATAATACTTATCCAAAAGATTTCCTATCTCTTCTCCATGTGTTGGTACTTTAAATCCCATAGAACACACTCCCACTGTCTTAATCCATTTTGCCTTCCCCCTCCAACTGATCACCTAAAAGACTAGGTGGGAGTTGTGAACACCAGTATACCTGCTGGAAGAGGAAACCCACCAACAAAGGAACCACCAACAGGTAATAAAGGAAGAAGGTGGAGGAGCGAGAGAAAACCAACACTAACCACCACCCAGGACCAATCTGGAATTGCAACTAAATGCTAGAGAAATTATCCAAAACAAAAAACTGAATAATAGTGAAAAAGAAGCCTCATAATGTTGGACAGACAGAAGAACCAGCTTTGACACAACCTGTCCGCACCTGCACAACAGAATATAAGACATGGTGGGCAAAGTGAACATCAGTTAATCAGCTGGAGGGAAGGACCCACCAAAAAAAGACCCAGCAACAATCAAAACCCAAATACATCCAAAGAGCCAACATAAATGACAGCCCAAGACCAGCAAGTTCAGGAGATCGAGGAGACTGCACCACTAAACCTCACAGGTCTACTACCATAGAAGTTCACACCATAAACCCAGGGAAACAGAACAGATCAATTTAAGAAGCAGAGCCTAACACAAGGAGTCTCACAAACAATGGGAAGAAAAAGAAACAATCCCCAAATGAAAGGAAAGGAGAAAGCCTCAGAAAGAATGCTAAATGAAATAGAGGCAAGTGAACTATCAGAAACTGTGTTCAAATCAGTGGTTATCAGGAAGCTCAATGAGCTCACTGAGAATTAACAAAAACTACAGGGAAACTACAGTGAATTCACTGCAAACTATATCAGCATGAAAAGGGAATTAGAAACTATCCACTGGGGCCAAAAAGAAATGAAGAACACAATTTCTGAATTGAACAGTAGAAGGAATCAAAAGCTGAATAGATGAAGCAAAAAAATCGAATCAGTGAGCTGGAGGACAAAGAAGAAAAAAAAATCCAGGAAGAGTAAGAAAAGAAAAAAAAACACTAAGAAAGAAGAAAGAGGTGCTAAGGGAATTGCAGGACAACATGAAACATAAAAATATCCATATAGTAAGGAACAAGAGGGAGAAGAAGAGCAAGGGATAGAAAACTTGTTTGAAAAAGTCATGATGGAAAACTTTCCTAATTTGATGAGAGAAACAGTCACACAAATCCAGGAAACACAGAGAGTCCCAATCAAGAGGAACCCAAAGAGGACCACTTCAAGATACATCATAATTAAAATGGCAAAATTCCAAGACAAAAGGAGAATCTTAAAGGCAGCAAGAAAGAAACAGGAAGTAACACACAAGGGAGTCCCAATAAGACTAACAGCTGACTTCTCACTGGAAAT